GGCGATAACGAGACGCTCATGGTTGAAGTTGGTCATGATGATACGCATGCCGTCGCCCTCCTTGCCGACCAAGTTGGATACCGGGACCTTGACATCATCAAGCTCGATGTAAGTCGTTCCACCAGTCTTCTGACCCGAGACTTGGAGTCGACGCATTGAGACACCGGGGTGGTTCTTCAGAGGCACGACGACAACGGAGAGGCCCTTGGCGCCGGGGCCACCGGTGCGGACTGCCATGGTCGCATAGTCAGACCAGATACCATTAGTGATCCTATCGAAGATGTTAGTACAATTTTCTACAGAGAGATTGATTTATGAGCCATGTTGTCTCGTACCATTTCTTGGATCCGTTGATGATGTAGTGCTTTCCATCGGCGCTCTTAGTAGCTGTCGTAACGATATTCGCAACATCACTGCCAGCCTCGGGCTCAGTGATCGCAATGCATCCGCGCTTCTTGCCGGTAAGCAGGTCAGGAAGGAAGCGCTCTTGCAATTCCTTGCTTCCGAACTTGACAATGGGCGGGATACCAAAGGCAAAGCCAGCGTTGAGCGAGCCACCCGGGCCGCTCAGACCAGACCGGCCCATCTTTCAAGGTTCATGTTAGCCTTTTCATCTCTTTGGAGGCAAACTGTCCGACTTCCTTACTTCATCACAGTAGATTCCAGTATAGATATAATCCCAATCTTCAACCTTGACGCCCAAAATATCGTGGATCCCTACGCGTTTGCACCAATCGACGGGTAGCGGGGCAGGCATGTTGGGGAGCAGCATATTGTGTTTGCAGAAGGTCTGGAAGACATGCTCGGGCACAGTCCCGGACTTTTCCCACTCCATAGCATTTTGGATGAGGTTCTCCCAGGCAAATTTGCGACAAGCTTTTTGGAAGCGTCGATGAGCGTCGGTGATATATGGGGAAGGAAGGCCGCGAAGGTAGGGCGGTTCGGAGAAGGGGATGGGGTTGACAGAGTTCTCGGCCATTATGAGAGGTATTTAGGAGGGCTGTATATAGGATATAAGTGAGTGCAGCTCTGTGCAGATTTGAGGGATAGAGGTAGAAGGGGGGGTGGGGAGAGGATCAAGATAAAGAAGAAGTAGAAAGCTAAGGTTATGGGTACATCATCTGGGGTATTAAGTTTCAAGTCCCCAGCTCCGCATTGTCTCCCGACCGAGGCTTGGTGCAGCCGCGCCAAGCACACATGCGGGCACGGGCACTGTGCATAGTAAGCATAGGTGAGTCAGCTATGCATGCATACGGGTGGCATATCGGCTATATGGATGAGGTCAGCATTAAGGCACCCAGGCACCCAGGCATCAAGGCCACAATCGATAAGATTTGATTGAGCACGCAATTCGGACTAACCCCGATGAGGCAAATTGGTCTGGGGAATTTTCTATACGCGGCGGATTTCCAAGCAATGTCCCCTCTTCCTCCACATTGTTTTACTTTTTTACTTATTACTCTCTTTTATCCCCTCCTTCCATTCAGTCCATTTGGTGATCGCTTTTCTTGTCTTTTCATATCTCTGATATCGTTGCTGTGCGTGCGATATCTAGACAAGAACATACTTCACCATGGGTGCCACCAGTCCCGCTCTGTCGGCCCTGTCTGGCCCGACCTATGTCACAGCCCAGACCCTAATTCAACAGGTCGCCTATCTGTTGAGTGACAAGGTCTTCTCCTATTCTCCAGAATCTTTTGATCTCGATGCTGCCCTCCGCCAATGGTCTGCCACTCAAGAGACCAACGCCAATGGCGAAACTCCCGCCGTCAAGACCATGGAGACCCGTCAAGGTGCCGGAAATATCGCCCTGGGCTACCTCTTCTCTCAGGACTTTGATCTGAAGAAGCGCCATGTTCCTCAGGGTATTGTGGCTTCCTCAGCCACCCTTCCCTTCATGCGCAATGCTCTGGAGCAATTGTCTCTCCTCTACTCCGTCGCCAGCCCTGTTGCCGCCCACGTCGCCGCTGTCGATTATGCTGGCGAGGAGGGTCTCGTTTCCGACTATGCTTCGGCCCTCTCTCTGGCTGAGGACCTCGGACTGGGTCTCGTTTCAAGTGGCTCGGCTCACGAGTCTCAGCACATGGCTCTGCTCACCACCCTGCTCTCCTCTGTCCTGCCTTCCATCCACATCTATGATGGTGTCCGTGTTGGCCATGAGACCACTCGCGTCATTGACGTGCTGGACAAGGATGGCCTCAACCGTACGTATGAGAACATCCGTAAGACCCTGGAGGATTCCCGCAACCGTCATCTTGATGCTCAGGGCAAGCTGCTTGACCTGCTCAAGGCACTGAACGGTGAGCTTGGAACCGATTACGGTGCTTTTGAGTACCATGGCCATGCTGAGCCTACTTCTGTTCTTGTTGTCTTTGGTACCGTCGAGGCTACTCTGGCTGCCCAGGTTGCCCGTTCTCTCGCCAAGGATGGCGTTCACATTGGTGTTGTCAATGTCCGCGTTTACCGTCCTTTCGTCGAGGAGGAGTTCCTGCGTGTCCTGCCCAAGTCCGTCAAGACCGTTGGCATTCTGGGCCAGGTTGCCAATGACCAGGCTGTTCAGGAGGAGGGTGTTCACTTTTCCCTCTACGAGGATGTGCTTGCTGCTCTGACCTTCGCCACCGACCGTGAGCAGGCTCCCGCTTGTGTCGAGATCAAGTACCCTCGCTCTCAGCGCTGGGATCTCATTTCCACTGCTGCTGCCTTTCAGCGCATCTTCGAGAAGCCCATTCTCCCCATCAACAACTCCACCAACGAGGCCGCTCCTCTGCAGCTGCTTGATCCCACTACTGTTCAGGAGTACACCTTCTGGGATGTTGACAACTCTGTCTCATCTGATGCTGCCGGCGTTCTCAGTGAGGCTCTTGCCGCTGATTCGGCAAGCAACGTCACTACCAGCAAGGTTCACGACAACCTTGTCCAGGGTGGTGCCGTCCGCATCGACATCCGCAAGAGTGCTAAGATCCTGGATGCTCCCTACTCTGTCACTTCTGCCGATGTTTCCTACATTGGAAACGTCGCCCTCCTGAAGGACGTTGATGTTCTTGCTTCGGTCAAGGACAATGCTAAGGTCATCATCAGCGCCCCTGGTGTTAAGGATGAGGACCTGGAGAAAAAGCTGCCCGCTGCCTTTAGACAGGCTGTCGCCCAGCGTGGAATCTCTGTCTTCATTGTCGACCCTACTGCTGTTGAAGATGCTTCCCTCGAGGCGTTGATCCTGCAGGCTTCCTTCATTCGCGTCGCTCTGCCTGCCCAGGAGGGTGTCGCCACCAAGAAGCTGTCTGCTATCTCTGGCAACGGAGAGGCTCTCGAGAACGTGTTCAAGGACCTCGAGAAGGTGCTCCGCCAGATCGAGACCCCCGAGGCCTGGAAGGAGCCCGAGGGTGTCAGCGAGGCTCCTCAGCTCCCCAAGGACATCTCCGCCAACAGCTTTGTTCCATTTGACAAGGAAGAGTCCGAGCCTCCCACCCTTCTCAAGGACTGGGAGACTGCTGCCCGTGGTCTTGCTTTCAAGGAGGCTTTCGGTACCCGCGATGCTCTCCGCCCCGACTTGGCCGCCAAGACCTTCACCGTTCACGTCCAGGAGAACCGCCGTCTCACACCTGTCACCTATGACCGTAACATCTTCCACATTGAGTTCGATCTTGGTGACTCTGGTCTCAAGTACGACATTGGCGAGGCTCTGGGTATCCACGCCGAGAACGACACCGCCGATGTTTCCAAGTTCATTGAGTTTTACGGCCTGAACCCCGATGCCATCGTCGAGGTTCCCAGCCGCGAGGACCCTGCTGTCCTGGAGAACCGCACCGTCTACCAGGCTCTCGTCCAGAATGTCGACATCTTCGGTCGCCCTCCCAAACGCTTCTACGAGGCTCTCGCCGAGTTCGCCTCTGACGAAAAGGAGAAGCTCGACCTTCTCACTCTGGGTGGTCCCGACGGTGCCGTCGAGTTCAAGCGCCGTGCTGAGGTCGACACCGTCACCTTCGCCGATATCTTGCTCGAGTACCCCTCCGCTCACCCCGAGTTCCACGAGATCGTCCGCATCATCGGCCCTCTGAAGCGCCGCGAGTACTCCATCGCCTCGTGCCAGAAGGTGACCCCCAACTCCGTTGCTCTGATGATTGTCGCCGTCACCTGGACAGACCCTGCCGGTCGCGACCGCTTCGGACAGGCTACTCGCTACCTCAGCAGCCTGAAGGTTGGCTCGCCCATCACCGTCAGCGTCAAGTCCAGTGTGATGAAGCTGCCCCCCAAGTCGACCCAGCCCCTCATCATGGCCGGTCTGGGTACGGGTCTTGCCCCCTTCCGCGCCTTCGTCCAGCACCGCGCCCTCGAGAAGGCCCAGGGCAAGGAGATTGGTTCCGTCCTCCTGTACATGGGCTCTCGTCACCAGCGCGAGGAGTACTGCTACGGAGAGGAATGGGAGGCCTACCAGGCCGCCGGTGTTATCACTCTCCTTGGCGCCGCCTTCTCCCGTGACCAGCCCGAGAAGATCTATATCCAGGACCGCATGCGCCAGTCCCTGCCCGAGATTGTCCAGGCCTACATCCGTGAGGAAGGTGCATTCTACCTTTGCGGTCCTACCTGGCCCGTTCCTGATGTCACTGCCGTTCTGGAGGAGGCTATTGCCACCGAGGCCAAGGCCAATGGTAAGAAGGTCGATACTCGCAAGGAGATTGAGAAGCTTAAGGATGAGGAGCGCTACGTTCTGGAGGTTTACTAGATGGATGTGGTGTGATATGATCTGATGATTGACGTGCATTTTCGTTTTTGTCGATTCCCCCAAGCTTTAGATTTTCTTGCCTAGCGCAATCACTGCCCATAGATTCAAAATGCATTGGCAAATTTTCATACACGAGACGATACGAGAAGAAAAAAACAACCGTGCGAGGACTTTACCCAGTAGTTGAATGCCGTAAAGCTTTAGAAATTACTACGCACAATACGAGTAGGCCTGGCAGCTTCCGTCAATCGGAGTCCCTTTGGGGGTGACCGGGGGAAGAATGCGCTGGTGGGATGGGATAGCGCAGCTCATCAATCAAGTTGTCTCAGCCAGGGGGGGCAAACGACCAGTGATGTCCGTGCACTTGCTGCCCTTGCCCTTCGGGAAACCCTCTGCAAGAACGGTGAAGAGGGGGGAGAGGAAGAAATGGCTAGACGCGAATCCCGACGAGCAAAGTGACGAAGGGGTGGACCGAACCATCCAAACCCTCCTTCCAACCGTGGATACGATCCTGGTCTACTCAGCGGAACTGAGTAAGTTCACGTTCCAAAATATCTTCTAGCACCTGAATAACATAATACTTTACAAGAGCTCCTCCTAGTCCCATCAGATGTCGCTGGCAAGGATGCACAAACCGCGACAGCTTTTCTCGTGAAGAAGTATTGGTTCGACATATAAAATCGTCTCACATCTCGCCTGGCCGATACAAGTGCTCTGATGGGAACTGTGAGAAATCATTTGGCCGCAAAGACAAGCTCCGAGCACATATGAAAACTTGTTCATTTTTAGTAGACAGATAAATATACCCCTCGCGGAAACCCTAAGAAACTTGAAGATATCATGTGGTTTGATGTCTTTGGAAAGTTGAATTTGGCCTAACTCGCGCATCAGCTTGACTTTCCATTCCATGGGAAGTATCTGAATAGTATGAAAACCCCACTCTACCACATAGACCTGCCTCTAGACTCCAGAGCTTGATACAGTGGTAAATTAGTTATCATTAGACTCAAGATTTTTCTCTATTAAGGTTTCTGCAAAGATTTATAGTTGACAAAATTCAACTTTCCCATCGTAACTATGGACTTCAATACAAATAACGCTCTTTCTGACCTTGGCGCCACTTTGAGAGTCAGGGGAGAGACATTGCCGGAAGCGTAACAACAAAGCCCTTGTAAACAACCGATCGAATATCTGTGCATCCACGTAACCTTTTTAACTTTAGGAAGGCGAAAGAGGAGTCGAGCTACTCCGCCATAGTTCTCAGCACTCTGCTGTTTAATCCAAAACACCTGTCTGTTCTAAGCCTTGTCTTGGCAATAGCCCCGGGGCTATTGCCAAGACAAGGCTTAGTTTGGTCTGCAATTGCTTTGGCAACCTACTCCTAAGACCTGACTCCAATGTTTCCATTCTTAGGAGTTTAAAGGGGCGAAGAGAATCGATGGAAGAAATGCAAAGGACCAAATCGTGGCAAATTTCAGCATGTGACTGAATTCTCTGGAGAATGCAATGTTCCCTTGGATAGAGCTGGGCTGGTTTATCTGGCTGGGGACATTTGAAGCTCTCCCCACAAAAGAAGTCCCAACCCGACGACCGGATCTGGTTCCAACCCTCCAGGGCTTACCACAGAATCTCCCTCCTTTTTTCTTTTTCTTTTCCTTTAGAAAAAGCAATAAATGTATTATGATTTGCTCTCACGATCGATCGGTGAAGTATCGCCTTGCAGAGATGGGACTAAGGATGCGACATCATCTCTCAGCTGGTTTAACGACTCCGCGCTACATCCGAAACGCACACCCACCATTCACAGCAGATCCCCAGCTGCAATCGGTCAACCGGGCCCTTTAAAACCCCCACTAGTTGACTAGCGTCACCGGTCCGAGGGTCCGCGTGCGCATTGACGGCGCTTTATGAGGTTCTTGAGAGGCATTAAGGCACCCCTTTCTTGCTACCTGAAAAATTTGGCACTTCCATCACTTTCCAAACTAACTTCCCCCATCAAGATCCCCCGTTCTTAGATTTCTTCATTTGAACCCTCTTTTCATTCATCTGTGATCATACTTTCTCTCTCATCTCTCATCTCTTCAAGTCTCCACATACAACGATTCAGCAACTCGAAACATCCTTACCTTTCGAGGACTTGATAAATAATATACCGTCTACAACAAAACAGCTCTCAACCATATTAGCTGGTTCAGGCATAATAACACTCCATCTAAGACAGGTAAATCTAAATGCACCCCTCGGTCTGGATTTGAAAACAGTTTACAACGAGCTAATACTGTCGTTTCGTTGTATCCTTTCTCTACCCATGAATTCATCCTTACATACTACAGCTTGAGATTAGGTTTTCAAATCGTGATCAATCTTTAGGATAGCTGGGCCCGGGCTCTCTTTCAAGTCTTTCCATCGCAAGGCATTTTTCAGACAGGGTGGTAATGCTTCCCAAGGCCCGGATAGTGGTGAAATATACTGGACTGATACTTTTCTTCAGCTTCCTATCTCCGATCGGTTCAGGTTCAAAGCTGCTAGTACTTGCTCGCTACAAATTGCCCCGCTGCCCCCTCAGCTTCAAGTACCCACCTGGAACCTTACTGTTAGAGTCGTATTATGCAACAATCGGCCCCAGACCTGAGCATGAGCGAGACAGACTACTGGTTGAACATCCTCGAACCATTGAATACACATGGCTATTGTTGCTCGTGTCTATCTTGTTGGTCTTTCTCATACAATATGAATGACCAAATGCCTCCCCCATCTGCTACCCTCCAAGGTAACTCTGAACGATTGCTTCAATCATCGGTCGAATGGGGCCAGTCGCCCAGAAATGGGCATCGCATTGACCAATCTGATCGCACCCGATATTCTACCCAAGATACCGACATTATGCATTCGACACTCAATGGCTCTCACGGTATGAAATTGCCTGACACTGCCCCTATGAAATTTGCGAGAACCGACCTTTCTCGCACCTGTGTGTGCCGCCCTTTTCAAATGAGAGAAACTCTAAACCAGTCAACTCTTATTTCCGACCAGGAAAATGAATATAGGATGCGCAAGAGTCCCGAGTCAGTCCGAACTAAAAGTATCTTACAATTGCAAAAGTAACACAATTCTCTTCTCAGATACCATCCTCAGCCCTTCAAATGCTGCTGGGAGGGATGCACAAACCGTGGAGGGTTCTCCAATAAAGCAGTCCTGATCCGGCATATTGAATCGACCCATATATCTCCAAACCAGTACAAGTGTTCTTATCGAAACTGTGAGAAAACGTTCGGGCGGAAAGACAAATTTCGAGCGCACATGAAGTTGGTTCATCTATAAGGCGATCTGATTATCTCATTACCGGCAACTTCCAAGGTCATTGCGGTGTGGAATGCTGGCCAAAGTCATCATTTCGATCGTTTATCTTGCAGGGCAGAATGGTGAAGGGGATCGTGAGCAGATAGAAAAGCGGGTGAAGTTAACTGCCTCTAGAAAGAGACGAGGTTATTCAATGGCCGTATATTTTTCGATTTTATCTGACATTCCGCGAAATGAATTACCAATACAATATTCTGTCTCGTAGTAGCGGAATTATTCATTCAGGCCCTTTGAGCACAGAAGATGTCAGGCATACAGTGGCCAGACAGGATATGGTATATTTCACAACTAGCGGGGGGCAGTTGACCAATACGCCACCGCAAGGCTGAATCGGAGTGTTACCCAATACCAAATGGGGCCGGTCGGTTGTTGCCTGATTCTCAACACATGTTCATGTTCAAGTTATTCTAAACGAAGTACTCCCCAGGGCCAAGCAACACCTACGGCCATCGACTTCTTCCAACCAACAACCAGGATACTAAAGCATACCCAAAAGTCATACCCCATACCAAAATGCAAGAACAAGAGCGACCCCAGGCCAAGGTCTTCAACACCCCAGAGCTTTTCGAGATCATCCTTCTCCACCTCGACATCCGCACACTCCTCGTCTCGGCCCAGCGAGTCTGCCAAACCTGGACAGTTCTAGTTCAGACTTCGCCTGCAATCCAACAAGCTCTTTTCTTTCGATCACAAGAGAATAAATGGCATACAGAATCAATCTCGAACCCCATCTACAACCCGCTTTTAGTAGAGGCCTTCCGGCCCTTCTTCCCCTCCGTTCATGAATACCCCCCCCATCCACAACAACAACGAAAACGCAAATGAGTTTCAGGCTGAAGCAGAACGTGATGGGAAAGAGGAGAATATCAACTTCTCTTTCAAAGCCCTCGACATGCTTTCATCCCCTCAGAAGAAATCCGCCTACATGAGAAAAGAAGCTAGCTGGCGAAAGATGCTCCTCCGCCAGCCCCCCGTTTACGGAGGCGTCACCATCTTCAAAATGCGCCATAATAGGGGCGGCGACTCGTGTAGAAGTTATGACGTTCGTCTCTCTAGCCTCATTCCCTCTTTTCCTCTCCCTTTCCCAAATCTCAGTAAAGGAGAAATCCCAAAGAAAAAGATTTGGTCTAACAAAGAGCAATAGGTCCAAGAGGAAACCCCTCAGGCCAATCAAGTGAATAAGGAATCAGATTACGACCATAAGACTCTAAAGATGGGCCACTTCTTTACAGCCTTCATACACAATGAGGACCTCTACTTCGGCCCCTTTGGCCACACACGCATCTACTGGTCCGCTTACGTCCCACCCTACGATCCTAACCTCGATGGTTGGGCTGGTGGTAGCTATCCACCACAAGGGGGGTTCGTTCAGCAGGAATGTCATAGAAAGTTTTTCTAGAGAGATCGCGAGATCCGAGGTTGTCGTATTCTCGAGGGAGGTGGCGCAGTGCTCTGTTGGTGTGAAGAGGAAGCTGACTCAGGGGAAGAGTTTGCGCAAGGAGATTCTCGAGGCTGAAAGTGATGCTAGAGTATAGCTTTGCGGGACATGGTACTGAGGTGTTTGAGAAGATACACCAGCAGAAGAGTCAACAGAGCTAGTTGCAAAAAGCGCAATCTGCGAGATTTTAACAAGAATCTTCAAACATGGGGGACAAGCAAGAGGTGGGCTCGACGTCAGATATCCAGTTCGAGATTGCAATAAAACATCATCGTGTTCAATAGAAGGAAATAACCTCCCCGGTACGTTGGATGCAAAAAGCAAGGTTACCCCAGCGGCTTTGTATAATTGAGATCGTTTAGTCTATGAATGAGATACATTATTTTATTGGCGTGTCGCATGTCGTTCAGGCCCTTGCCAATGGCCCATGTTTGGTCTTTCCGTAAGCACCGCTCATTTCCTTTCTCAACTCCAAAGCCTTACGATAAGGCGGAGCAGTCGGAGGCTGCACTGGCTGCAAGCTGACATGGTCAGGAGGAAGGGCATATGATGCATCTGAATCCCAGGCAGACAGGTCGCCACAGGCAATGAATGAAGGAATCCATCGATTCTCCTCAGCAAATTTGTTGGACAGCTTTTGCCCAGGTGGTTGGTTTGTTGTCTCGGACGGTTTTTGGAGATGGCGCACTTCCGTGGAGTGTGCTGATGAAGCATTGGACCCATCGTTTGTCTCTGCTAGGACAGGCCGAGCCCTTGTATCTTGGTCTAGATCGTCTTTTACTTCGAGGCCGACGTTGCCATCCTGCGAGACAGGCTTCGGGGTAGCGGCGCCACCAAATAGGGGATTTTTCAATGCCGCCATTCCAGCGAGACCTTCATTGCTGACGGGTGGGATGTAGCCTTCGCAGACGATGAATGCTTCCAGACTGCTCGCTCGACTACTCCGGGGCTTGGAGACGCTGACTCGATCGAAAACAGTTCGCAATTGCGCATAAAGAAGATCGACATCTCGGGCCCGAAAGATTTTAGCAACAAATTTGCCGCCAGGTCGAAGAACGCCCATGGCCAAATTGAGGGCTGCGTAGAGCAATTGGGACTGGATGTAGATGTCCAAATCGTGCAAGCCAGTTACATCGGGCGCACCGTCAGAGATAACCAGATCAACGGGATGGGGTTCTCTGATGGGCGCTGGAGGGTTTGATGGGGAGTCAGTGGAAGGAGAAGTAGATTCATAAGCTTCAGGGTCCAGAGCACGGAGGAGAAGTGGAATGGTGGAGGGATGGGTGATGTCGGCTTTGAGGGTTGTGATGCCTTCAAGCGGCGCCATGGGTTGCAAATCGATAGAGACAATCTTGACATTCTTGCGGGGTTTCAGCTCGGCATTTGGGTCGCTTTCTCCAAATTGAGGCTCCATATCATTATCGCTTGGCTTGGTCGCATCGTTGCCCTCCTCCAAAGCCTGTCGGTCTCTTTGTTTCTTCTCGAGCCACGCCCGCCGGCCAAAACTTTCGCCCTTAATAAGTACTCGACTGAGTACTTGACTCCAACTGCCTGGTGCAGCGCAAAGATCCACAACTCGTGTCACATTATCCGGGTTCTCGTGATCGAAGAGGTCGAATTGTTCGTCGATTTGAATGAGCTTGAACGCCGAGCGAGCACGCCAATTCTGTTCCTTGGCCAGGCGATAGTAAGCATCGCGCTTATCTTTGGACGATTTGCCCATTTTGAAAGCAACAGGAGCCCTGTCTGTTTCTTTTTTGTCTTTTTTTCCAAATGAAGTGGGATTTGCGATAGAATTGGCGGCGAAGGCGGGGAGCCGCCGCGATAAGATTCCCGGGCGGACTCTTTCTGCCGTTTTATTTTCCTTCGCCGACGAGCTTTTTTTTCCTCTTCACCTCGAACTCTCGAATTCGTCTCGAACAGGTCCTCACAGTCATCATGGGTGAAAAGCGAGGACGTGACACAAAAGGGCAGGCGCAGGAGTCCAAGAAGCGCAAGAAGGGAGGCAACGCCGACACTGCTTCCGACGATGGTTGGGATGGCCTCGCCGGTATTGACGACCTCAACTGGAAGGAAGTGACTCTTCCCGATCGAATGGAAGATGCCGAAGGATTTTTTGGTCTAGAAGAAATTGACGGGGTTGATGTGATCAAAATTGATGGCTCTGCAGGTGTGCAGTTCAAGGTGAGTAGCTCCAATGACAGTTCTATTTTGCCCTGCGCAATTCGCTGACTTTCATGGTTTACTGGGAATCAGGCCAAGTCGGGAAAGCCCAGGAAGTCGATTTTGAAAGAGCCGGCCTCCGACGATGACGGCGAGGAATGGTCTGGCTTCAGTGACGAGGAGTCCGAAAAGCCTGCCGCTTCAGCCGCTGATAAGCAGGAACCGAAGGACAACCAAGCGAAGAACAAGAAGGACGCCGCCAAGGGGGATAATAAGAAGGATTCTCAAGATTCCAAGAAGAAGGATTCCAAGGAGCCAAACAAAAAGGAGAAGAAGAGCAAGGACAACAAAAGAGACGCCGAAAACAAGAAGGTCACCCCAAAAGAACCTAATCTGAAGTCCAGTCTCTCCTTCGCTGCGCTTGAGGAGACCGAAGACGATGATGGCGTGGATGTGTCAGAGTGGGAGAATCTTGGTCTTGCCCCCGAGATTCTCACTGGTCTTTCCAAGATGAAATTTGGTACACCCACTGCTGTGCAAGAGTCTTGTATCCCGGCCATTCTCGACGGACATGATGTCGTTGGAAAGGCATCGACTGGTTCTGGAAAAACACTGGCCTTTGGTATTCCAATCCTCGAACACTATCTCGGAAAGAGATCGAAGAAGGTGGAGCGTGATGAGAAAATCAGTATCTCCCCCATAGCGCTCATTTTGTCACCTACACGTGAACTGGCACATCAATTGGCGAAGCATATCGGTGACCTGATCTCGAATTCCCCCGACACCGACGCCCGCATTGCTTTGTTGACTGGCGGTCTATCTATCCATAAGCAGCAGCGCCAGCTTGCTAATGCTGACATTGTTATCGGTACACCTGGTCGTGTCTGGGAAATCCTCAGCAAGGGAAGCGGATTGATTCGCAAGATGCAGAAGATTCAGTTCCTGGTAGTTGATGAAGCCGATCGCCTCCTCAGCGAGGGCCACTTCAAGGAAGTTGAAGAGATCCTCGGCGCTTTGGATAAGCCAGAACATGGGGCCTTGCCCGATATGGACGAGGAGGCTCAAGTCGAGGAAGAGCCTGCTTCACGACAAACTCTTGTCTTCTCGGCTACTTTCCATCGTGACTTGCAGCAGAAGCTTGCTGGAAAGAGTCGTTGGACTAGTGGCGATATGATGGATAACAATGAATCAATGGAGTATCTTCTCAAGAAGCTCAACTTCCGTGAAGAGAAGCCTAAGTTCATTGATCTCAATCCCACGAAACAGATGGCAGAACGTCTAAAGGAGGGAATCGTCGAGTGTCCTGCAATGGAGAAGGATCTCTACCTTTACTCACTCCTACTCTATCACCCCAAACACCGAACCCTTATTTTCACCAACTCTATCTCCGCCGTCCGACGCATCACTCAGTTGCTACAGAACCTCCAACTTCCTGCTCTCGCTCTCCACTCTTCCATGATACAAAAGGCCCGGCTACGCTCTGTTGAACGCTTTTCTTCGCCAACGGCCGACCCCAGCTCTATTCTTGTCGCCACCGATGTCGCTGCTCGAGGTCTCGATATCAAGGGCATCGACTGTGTCGTCCATTACCACGCCCCACGAGCCGCCGATGCCTACGTGCACCGATCCGGTCGTACCGCTCGTGCCGGTGCATCGGGCAAGAGTATTATCATTTGTTCTCCGGACGAAGTGGTCAGCGTGGCCCGCCTAGCTGCAAAGGTTCACCAGAAAAGGACGGGCGAACTCAATGCGAAAAAGCTTCCACTGGAATCGCTCGATATCGATCGTCGTGTCGTCCAACGCGTCCGCCAACGCATAACTATCGCTCAGAAGATTACCGATGCCAACATCGCCAAAGAGAAGATCTCTTCGGAGGATAACTGGCTTCGCGCAGCTGCTGATGACCTTGGTGTTGAATACGACTCCGATGAATTTGACGAGTCGAAAGGAAAGGGTCGCGGTCGCGGAGGTGGCCGTCATCAGCGTGACAAGAAAAACAGCGAAATCACCAAGGGTGAACTGGCCGGGCTTCGTGCAGAGTTGAGAGAACAACTTTCGCACAGAATTAATATCGGTGTCAGTGAGCGATACTTGACGGCTGGACGGGTCGATATTGAGGCTCTCATCCGTGGCGAGGGCAACAGTGCGTTCCTAGGACACCTTGATCCTTTGAACTTCTAGATTAAGTTTTATTGTGAATACCACTTGTCATATAAATCATTTGCCGTTTGAACGGGAGTTTTCATGCTGAGGATTCCAGCTGCTGCTCACTTCTTTTCTTTTGTTTTTCATAGTATAAAATGTCCATCTTCCAATACAACTTTACTCAAGAACCCCTTTTAAGGGGCTCTCAGAAACCTGAATTTTATTTAGTAAAACCCAAAAGGAGTTCCTTTCGTCCGTATGTTTTGTTATTTTGACTAAATTTTATTCCGCCATAATAACGAGCTGGCTAGAGAGTCCGAGCTTGCTGATCAAACTATAATCCGCTCCTAGTTCTCTTTCGCCACGTGGGAATCTAAAAGGGTCCCATCTTATCTGTAATCGGCATGCCGAGATGGAGATCTCGGCAGACATCCGAAGCGCCGCCGAAAGTCGGCCTTCTCAGCCCCACTGTTGGGTCCAACAGAAAAAAATTGAAGGAAAAAAAGAGAGACAGCTCCGATCATAATCGCCGATGATCTCATCTAGCGTGATTTCTCCTTAAAAATCTCCGGTTAGCAGGTTGGCCGTTTGTCAAGATCACCATCCCCTCCTCAAAGTAGCATCGCGCTATACTTCTCGACCTACAGAAAACCGGAAGATCTTGATAACGGCAGTTGTTGGGCCGGGAATCCGCTTTACCGGCAGATAATCGTGCATTAGCTTTTCGGCACTTGAACATTCGTCCATCCTCGCATTCTACATCGGACATTCCTCAGGCTCTTGGATATC